AAATCAGCGGATGAAGGTGGTTTGCACGGTGTATACAAATTAAATGGTTTGCATTTATTTATTTATTTATTTGAAAATTACAATTACTCATTCTATTGAATAACCAAAAAACCAATAATTAGCTTAAATAAATTAAAAATTATATTAAACTTTTGATCTATATAAAATCTCTTATTTAAAGTCAAAGTTAGTTTGATGCATGAATATTACTATTTTTTTCATCTTGTAAGTCTTTGATAAAGTTAAAGTAAAATTAATAAGGATATAGGGGCACGTTTGATTGCTAATCAAGAATAAACGAGAACATATCACGTGTTTAAAACATTCAAGAAATATTCATCATAAATGTTTTAATATTCATCGTGAATGTTGTAAAAAGTACACTTTTATTATTTATAATGAATATGCACTCTCATCTCTTCTAATGAAAACCACTCACAGCTAAAATTCCCTTTAAAAATAGAGTAAATTGCAGTTTTGGTCCTTATAGTTTATGTGTTTTAACATTCTGGACCCCTATTTTGAAATATATGTGTATTACATCCCTGTAGTTTGCATTTTATAATGCATCAAGTCCTTAAATTCAACGCCGTTAAAAAGACCGTTATATCAGGGGTATTTAGGTCTTTTTATCAATTCTTTATTTTTTTATTAAAAAATTAAAACAAATGTATTAATATTTTATTATTATTTTATATTAATGCAAGCCTCACCCATCATGAACATCACAACTCGATGACTTTCCGGCTACTACCCAACCCAAACCTATCCATTTTTTTCTCTTGTCCTCGTATCACGGTTCTTACATGCCTACACTGAAACCACTCTACTCCACACCACCACAGTCTGCACCATCGTTCCTCTTTTCTCCCTACACCATTGATCTTTTTGGATTCCCTATCTCGACTCCCCATCTGATACTCTCCCATCTATATCATAACCTGCAATCCCCAATCTAGTACAAGATCTGGACGTAGTCTCCAGAGGGGGTTTGCCTTACGAATTTATAATATCAATCTTGTTGGTGATTTTGTAAAAAAAAAATTGATTTTTCTTGTTGGTTTTGAAAAGCAGGTTTTTTGTTTTTGATTTCGTAGAAATTGCTCTTTTGTTGGTTTCTTGCAACCTTCACAAAATCAACCCATTTTGTTGTTGGTTATGTCAGGAAATTTGGGTTTTCAAACAGATCTAAAAACACCACAGAAGGGTGGTTATGATTTTGATATTTTGGATATAATGGTGCTGATCAATTCTTGATTGTGGTGGGAGTAGTTGTCAATTCCCGCCAGAGAAGATAAAGACGACCTGGTACTGTTTTAATTAGCGGTGTCATTACTTGTTGTCTCTGGGATGGAAGGTGACATGTGTCACTTTATAATTGGGTATCTAAAATGATCTTGTAAGTAATGGATAAAAAGACAAAAATGTCCTTACCTTAATAAAATTAAAAAAAATTAAGACACCTAGGTGGAGGATAACTATTTTGTTCAAGAGACGTAATCCATTATTTTCATATAACCATGGGAACGAAATCAGTAATTGACTCAATTGTCAAAAGTCAAAAGTTAAAAGTCAAAAGTCAAAGTAGTAGGATATGGAGCCAAGGCCAAGGCCACAATAAATGCCGTTTATTTAGAGACGGTGCCTTACCACCGATCGTACCTTTGAGGTTTGAACCTCTCTTGGGTCCCTCCCAAACTTATGTGCTTTGAAACCATATTATTTCAATATTTCATAAATATTGAAAATATTAAAATTAAATAATTTTTTTTTATTTTTTTATCTAAATAAATATCCCTCAATTTATTGAAAAATAATTTTGGAATAAAAATATTATAATTTTTGAAAGAAAAAACATTGTATTTTAATGACTTTTATCAGTACATCTTATGTCATAAGGTGTTTTAAACCAAAGTTGTTCTTGACGTAAAATGATTTGAATTTTGTGAACAAACCAATTAGTATTTACGCAAATGTAAGCAAATTACGACAGGGTGAAATCTTTTGTTACTTGTTCATTAACGTACCTGTGAAGAGGCAAACCATAAATGACGGAATTTGAACTATTAATAAATGCTAAGGATGTCCCTACCCTAGTTCGTACATAAGATATATAATATAGTGAATGTGACTTTTTCCAAGAGCCGACCATCTTGTAAGCTTGTGTTTTCTGTAACGCGTTTTCTCAAACATACATACGTACATACATGCCAGAACCGTCTAAAAAACAAAAATCAATCAAAATGACCTAGTAAATCTTACTGGAAATTATAGTGTCTATGAGTGATGTATGCAGATATGACATCTCCATCAAAAAGTAGAGAGATTGTTTTGACCCCCTTTTCGGTGGGCTTGTGCAAAAGTATTAACAAACATTTAGAAGGACTAAAGATTGACATATGGTAAATGAAACACTAACAAATAAAAAAAGGTAACAAGTAGGTACATTGAATACATACGAAAAGGAAAGGAAGACAAAACACACAAGAGTAATTAAGGTCGAACAACACATCTCTAGCTTAAACTGTCAAACCTCTACACGCCAACCTGTCCAATTCCCTTGTGTCCAGCCGCGCTAGCTACATGTCTCCATTCTCATAGTCCTCCAACTCTAAGTACTCTGATTAGATGTCATATCCTCATTGTCTAAGATTGTGATGCTCGAATTTAATTGCTATGGCATGTTCTTGTCGGCTTACCAATCAACCGTAACTCTTTCTACTCTTTTTATTGATGCTATCATCTGTCTCCAACGAACATGCCCAAACCAACACAACCTCTGATCTCTCAATTTATTTGTTATTGAGGTAACTCCTAGATCCGCTCGGAAAACCTTGTGTGAAATTTTGTTTAACATGATCCGACCGCAGGTTCACATAAGAATCCTCATTTTCGCAGCTTCCAACTTCTTCTCAAAGGCCTTCCTTGTTGCCCATATTCGGAGCCATACAACATGGCTAATCAAATGACAACTCTATTGATGTATGTATGCATGGATGTTTAGGGTTGGATTCCGGTGAAAAAAAAAAAGAGTTGAGATGAGAAACGTAAGAAATGATCTCCATCATTGGATGCACATTATGATGAGATGCACCGAGATGCACCAGATCAATCCTCGTATCAAGCGCGTTTCATTGGTGGGTTTGAGATTAAATGTGATCAAGGGTCCAGATCCCTTCTGAGACTTCATATCTTAACTCTCCTTCTCACATGATCCTTCGCATATATATATATATATATATATATATATATGTGTGTGTGTGTGTGTGTGTATGTATGTATAGGAGTCCATTCAAGACTGAATTGATTAGTTTGTGATAACCGTGAGATCCAGTGTGAACCACTCTTTTGAGATATTTAAGGATATTTCTTGAATAAGCTAAAAGGGTAATATAGTAATTCTATTTTTGACAACTAATCAAAATATTTAATTAAATTATTTAGAAGGAAATATTTAATTAAAAGTTAGTTACCTAGTATATATCAATTACCTAATATACATCGTATTTTTAAAGACGTTTGTGAATCAAAGTCTATCATTGTGACAACGCTCACAATGTTTCATGTGTATCACAATATATTTTCTTTGTTTTATGAAATATATCATAGTGTGCATTTTCATTATTTCCATTGTTTTACAAATGATATCACATTGTGCATCTTGTATGTATATATGGGTATCACATTGAACATCGTTTATAGGTATCATAATGTGTATCTTGTGTTCACATAAGGTTCATCGGAATAAGGTTCGTCGAATAAGATTCGTCGGAGAGAGGAAAGAGGAGAGATAAGAGAGGATATTTTGTAAAATTCTTAAAAATGCCCTTAATTAATATTTTAAGTTAAAATTACCAAAATTATTAATTTCTTGAGATAACATTTGATTTGTGGTTGAGATTGGATCTCACGGTTATCTCAAACAAAACAATTCCCATTTGATTAGGCTTATATATATATATATATATATATATATATATATATATATAATGTAAAGAAAGTCAAATAAGAACTATAAAAAAATTACAAACTTATGAGAACTAATATACAAATATTTTTATATGAGTTTTTTTCATCGAAAGATGTATATATGATTTAAGATATTGTTCATTTATGTTTATATTGTGAAAAAAGTACATTTTAAGCTTTTTCTGAGAAAGAATATTATTAACAAATATTTTTAGATTGGTTTTCACCGGTTTATAACTCTTTTATGTTTCATAGTTTTGTATGTATGTATATGTGTGTGTGTGTGTGTATCTATATCGGGTTGTATTCCGGTGAGAAGGTAAGTTATTGTGAGAAGGGTGAAAAGAGATCTCCACCTTTGGATCAATCATAATTGAAGATCAATGATTATGAGATGCACCAGATCAACTCCCATAAGAAGGGGAATTCATGAGTTGGGTGAGATTAAAAAGTGATCAAGGGTTCAGATCTCTTCTTACGCTTCTTAACTTAACTCATATTCTCACACGATCCTTCGTTATATATATATATATATATATATATATATATATATAGTGAAAGATCATATGAAAAGAGAAGTTATTGTGAGAAGCGTAATAAGAGATCTGAACCTTTGATCACTTTTAATCTTATGTCCACCTATGAATTATGCTTTAGAAGGGAATTGATCTGGTGTATCTCGAAGCACCTCCTTAGTGTTGACATTTTAGCATTGATCTAAAGGTACAGACCTCTTCTTACGTTTCTCATCATAACTTCCCTTCTCACCGGAACCCGATTTATATTATATATACATGTGGATGTATGTATGTATGTATGTATATGAACACAAAAAGAGAAAGAGAGAGAGAGACCTTGGACCTTGATGTCCCCAAGGAAGGGAACCAAGGTAGGGCAAGCCCAAAGAGCTATGAACCCGTGAACTACCACCTGCCCCTACATTCCACATGCTTCTGCCCTTCTCCTTCAACCCTCCCCCATATATAAATACACTTCCCTTCTCCTCTTCAAAAAAACCACCACCACATCATCATTATCATCATCATCATCACCACCATCATCATCATCATCATCATCATCATCACCACCACCACCATCACAATGGGTCTTAGAAAGTCACACAATAGACAAGCTCAAGCATTAGCTCTCAAGAAAATCATCAAAAAATGCTCAAGTTTCGGCAAAAACAACGATGACAAGAGCCTCCCAAACGACGTCCCAAAAGGACATTTCGTGGTATATGTGGGCGAAAGGCGAAGCAGATACATCGTGCCCATCTCGAGTTTGGATCATCCGACGTTTCAAGATCTACTGCAAAGATCCGAGGAAGAATTCGGATTCAATCACGACATGGGCATCATCATTCCTTGCCAAGAAGTCGATTTTCTGTCTCTTTTCTCCATGAGTGGATGAAGATTCTCAATTAGTACCAAATTTGTCAAGAAAATTCTTTTTTGTGTCTCTTCTGGTATTTTTCTCAAGTGGTGTGTGTCTTATGAACACCCTTTGAAAAATATAGTGTCAATTTTTGTAAAAAATGGAAACTGTCATGGGATTTCATTCTTCTCTCATGCACATGTTAATGTTATACACTTATGTCACATTGCCCAATTCATTCCAAAACACATCATATTGTATTTTTGGTCACCTTCTTTTTCCCTCTTAATTAATCCCAGAAGTTTCAAAGAACAGTAAAAAAATCCTTAATAAGGGGTTGTTTGTTTACATCTTAATAGTTTCATTAAAAGGCAATCTCTGAATCATTAAGAGGTGAATCTTGTTTGGTAAAAAAAAAACTGCATCTTAATGGTTCTGAAACCCTCTGAATGATTTTGTATTTTGAGCCTCCCTTAACCATTAAGAGCCCTAATTTCATTCTAAACAATTACCAAACAATTATATTTCATTTTGCACTATATCATGAGAGCCTCTTAATCATTCTGACCACTTAATGATTCTGCACAAAACCATTCAGTAACAGTTAAACAGCCTCTAATTTTGCAGGATTCAAACCCGTGTGACCCTCGAAGAATATTATATATTATTTAATTATGTGTTTCTAATTAAAATTAGAAAGAATGTATTATCTCATGAATTGCCAGATATTCATAAATTTCGGTTTTCCGTCCTTTCGGTTTACCATTTTCACAAGAATATATTTGCTTTTACTGATAAAAACTTCATTGTTATGACCGCTTAGCAGTCTTTACGAGAAAATAAAATTACATAAGTTCAATCATATTAAAGTTATATTTACTGTCTCATAAAAACTGAAATAATACTTTATGTAAAATAATTCATAATTACTATATCACATTTAGGGGTGGATCAATGTAGAATCTAGGGGTCCCATGACACCATGACTCTTAAATGTGTCATCGTTGTTATTTATTATGTGTTATCATCGAGCATCGTTGTAAGAAAACCGACAGGTTACAATAATATATTGAAACTTAAATTTGATTTTGGTATTTACAATGATGAAACATAAAAACCATGTCCGTAAATCGTTGAAATTTGATCTAATTTCTTCATGTTTTGTATTGTCTTTCGTTCACTATAATTAATTTTTATTTTTATTTATATCACGGTAATTATTTTTGCGACATTTGAAATTTTTTCTAGATTCGTCTATGACCACATTGGTTTGGTTTACTGACATTGTGGCTCAATTCGACTCAAAAAATGGAAAACCGATTAGGATGGTTCTCGATTCATGATTTGGGCCAAAATTGAATAAATACATCTCAAATCTCGTATGAAAGATTCAATAAGAAAAATTGTAACTCACAAGGCTTAGATTCTCTTGAACTTTGAAGATACTAATTTATTTTATAAGTGGACAGAAACCGAACCGAACCGAACCTATATGAACCACATCGAAACTCGAAAGCCATAGAAAACCAATTCGAGATAATAGAGCAAAGACTTGACCTTAACGCCAACAAAACTCATGTCAGACCTTCTCAAACTCGACAAGCGATAAATCAAGCATGAACAACTTATCTAACCAAGCCTGAAGCAAATCATCAAGTTCAATCTTGGGTCTCGGAGTCTTGACTCGACTCAAATATATGTTAATTTAATATGATCAGACTTTTTTTATTAACCTGGATATCCAACCCGCTATGCGAGCCGACTAGGAGTCACTGCATTTGAACCTCCGTGGCCACCAGAGGATTTTTATTCCTCCTTGGATTTGAATCTGGAACCTCCTGGTACTTTTGACCTTTGGAGTCAAACTCAAACCAATCAGGCACCACCCTTGTGGTTAAAACTTACCTAGCCGAGTTGAAACAAATTATCAAGTTTGGGTCTGTCTCAGATTCAGATGTTGGCTCTACTTATCCTGTACCTTAATCTAATCCAATCAAATGTAAGATGTAGGCTCTACTCAACTTATACAATGATCTAATCGGGTCAGATGTAGGCTCTAGTGATCCCAAACTCAATATATTAGAATAAGATGGATTTGTAAAGAAAGGCTCTCTCTTATGTGATGTAAATAATGTAGGAGAGGGGACGCATGTTCTTTTTTTCATATTGGTGCATATGGTGGGATGCTACCGATTGTCCCAACTCCCAAACAGTATGAATGAACCTACTTGAGAATTTCCAAAATTACCCCCCAAGTTCTTCTATTTGTATCTAATAGATCCATACCTCCATGGGTCGGGTCGGGTATGTACGTGCATACCTTTCAAGAAGAATTTGGTTAAGTTTCACGAAAATAATATTCAAATTTTGAAATTTTCGGATCCATGATTGTTGTTGTCGTGGACGCCTATTTGCAACAACTATAACAACAATGGCACCCTGACGAATACGTTCCATAAAACCCTCGAAAATACGATTTTTACTGCATTAAAACTGTTCCAACAAGTCGCAAATACTTTGGGTTTGATTTTCTTGTCATGCATTGGCCTACTTGTATATGGGACTTTAGCCTACACGAGGTCAATGGTTCAAACCTCGTCAAATGCGTGAGGAAGTGTAGGTTTATTTGTTACATTTGTCATATACAAATATTATATGTATACTCCAAAAAAAGGTATTTTAAATGAAAAATGCATACAAAGGCCACTGCATCATTTATAAACTTTCAATTAACCACAAAAACATCAAAATAAGGTCATCAAACTATACCCACAAAGCAAATAAGAGAAGCAAAGAAAATATGCAAGAAACCAGTGAAGCCAAACAAGTTATATTCCAAGAACTGCATCAAATCATGCAAGTGAACACATTCAAATCTGAGAACAGAATAAAAAAAGGAAGAGAGTTCACATATTCAATTATGATTCAAAATGTAGCAAGATCTTCTTTCACATTACATTACACAAAGAAAAATTTCAACACAGAATTCCCGATTAACGTAATCAACTCCGGGAACAGGTCAGCATGAGCATTTTTAGTCGAAAAATTAAGCCGAATTTGAGAAACAAAGAAATCAGATGTTGGAAGCAGAGAGTGCCATTACCTTGCATTGTTCATTCATGGCCAAGAGCTGGGCTTCTTTCTTGTCAAGAAGAGCACTCAATTTCATATTCTCGTCCATAAGTTTTTGGACTTCCGCTTCCTTCTGCAGTTTTTCACTCTCTAGCTGTGTTGTCTTTACAACTAACCTGTTAACACAACCGTATAACAACATAACTAACCCCGATACTTAGTTTCCAATCAACATCACCAATTCTATAATTGCTTTGAGATAATGTTACATGTGAAAAGTAAACCAAAGGGACTCGGTATCTCCACCTAGAAATTATTTCAAGTGGTGACACCATTTGACTATAAAAACGAAGCTATGTACAAAATCATCATTGGTATATTGGTTAGTTCCTTTTTTTGTACGTGAGGTTCTTTATTCGAGTCTTTCATCTCAAAAAAATTTAGAAACATAATAAACCTGAGGTTAGTAGCTAAAAACTAAGAAAACGATACAAATGGGATTCGAAAACCACATCTGGAAGGGGAGAAAAAACCATGCTAACCAACTCTACCAAGAGAAACTATAAAAACTCCTTAATCTGTTACTTATAATCTTCTTTGTAGTTTCAAGGAATATACGGTTACCTTGCACCCAACAAAATAATACGGTGGCACCTTTCACGACCCTAATTGTTTTTACACTATTGGAGGAACAAAGCGGTGGCCCATGCCACCATATGCGCCATAGTGGGTCCACCCCTACCTGGAGGTGGGGGGTCTGAGAGGGAAAGATGTAGGCAGACCTAACCTCTACCCCAAAGAGTAAACTGGCCATTTCCGTTAAGATCCTCGGCTTGTGATAATTCATGTAAAAGGTAAATATAGAAACTGATTGCAACATATGAAAAAGGCAATTGTTGCTTATGCATCATAGAGCAAAATGATATCACAATCATCCAATATTCTATGCGTAAACAAATTATCAAATAGCATACCCTCCAAGTGAACAAATACACACTTATATCAAATTATGCAATACATCAAACACCCTTTCTCAAATGCACCTTTTTCTATCTAACAAAAACATTTTTGAACATTCTTTTTTCTGTTAGTGTATCCTGAATAGTTTTGGTGACATTAAATTTATTCTGGTTAGCGTTCTTCTTAACTTCCAGTTAAATGATTTATATATGACGCTTGGTTTAAAAATGCGAGCATAATGCGCTCTGATGAGTGATGCGCTCTGATGCGCTGGAGGTAACGCATCCAATGGGCTGATGCGAAGCAATTCCATGATGCGCTCGCATCACACGATGCGTGCATCACCTATGCATCAGCGCATCCTGTATGTTTCATGTTTGGGCTCCCTTTTTCAGTTTTTAGTTGGGCTTTTTAGTTGATTAAAATAGAACGTGAGACTGAATGGTGACCTAATAGAAGAAGCCGACAGCCACTAATAATAGAAGAAACAGAAGTCGCACTCGCATATCAATCAGATTAAAAAAGAAATAGAATGTGAATGACGATGGGTCGGGGTCATTAAGAGGGAGTCGGAGAGTAAATGATGATGGGTCGGGTCCATCAAGAACTAAAAGTGCTAGAGGAAAAGGACATGTTCTTCAAGATGAAGATGATGAAGTTGAGGTGGAAGCAGATACTGGAGGGTTTGATAATGATGAGGGAGATGAACCCGTGTTGGGGTTTGATGATGCTGATCTTGGGGAGTATTAGTTGGTCACTTGGTCATTTAGTTTAGGGATTGGGGACTATTAGGGGCTGTTTGGCAGTTGCTGAATGATTTAGTTCAGAATAGCTAAGAGGTTAGAATGGCTAAGAGGGTCAGAATGGTTAAGTGCTGAATGAAACAAAKTTGTTTGGTAATTGTTTTCTGAATGACAGCAAAATTACCATTTTAACCCTCAAGAAATACAATCAATTCTAAACATTTTTTTAGAAAAAAAAGATGATGTTCTTCATGTTCTTCATATCAAGATCACAAATCCTCAAAAAATTGCAAAATATAGGTAATCCAATCATCATTAACATTGTTACAAACATGAAGTTAGCAATAAACACCATCAATTTTCAAAGAAAAATGCTACCCTAAACCAAACCCTAGACAKAAAAATGCTACCCTAAACCAAACCCTAGACAGAAAAATGCTACCCTAAACCAAATGCGACGTGAGGCTGTGGAAGGCGACGAGGCGGCGACGTGAGGCTGTGGAAGGCGACGAAGCGGCGACGAGCGGCGACGAGCGGCGACGAGGCGGCGACGAGGCGGCGACCGGAGGCGAGGCGATCGGGGTGCGACGATGGAAGGATGATCGGGAACCGACGATGAAAGGACGATCGGGAACCGACGATGGACGACCGGCGCTCCGATTAAAGAGGATATGTGCTTCGATCGGGAATGGAAGGGGAAGAGGAATGGAAGTGAGCTGGGTCTGCGTGAGTGAGATGAGGGCAAAGATGGAAAAAAACAGCCCCTGAATGGTTGAGTGGAGTATAAGGGTCAAAATGGTTAAGAGGTGTTTGTAACCATTAAGAGGTGGTTTTTTTTTTGCCAAACACTTGCAACCTCTGACCGATTCAGCGATTGGCTCTTAATGTAACCATTAAGAGCCTACCAAACAGCCCCTTAGACATTTACTTGTGTTCTTAATGGTAGTAGTTTGTGTGTTCTGTTATTTCGATTCACGAACTTTTTAAGATTCTAATGCCACTTTTTGAACTACTTTATGTTATAAATGAAGTATAAGTATTTTTAAGGTAGAAATTGATATGTAGAATTAATTTATAAGTATTTTTTTGAATACCGGGCGCATCACGCATCAGCATCACGCATCGGCTTCCGGGACCCTTACCGCCTCGGACAGCATCGCGTTTTTTAAAACCAAGATATGACGACATTCGGTAATGCATACAAGTATTCTAGTCAAAAGCTACTTCAAAAAGATGAAAGAACCGATAAGAATTTAAGTTTGTTAGTATTCCCTTGCAAATATCAATTTTGACTCACAACATTTGCAGTTGGATCTTTTGGTATTCCCTTGCAATACCCAGTTACCAATTTGAAAAAGAATAAATATAACTTGTTACATTTAGTTGCTATTTTCCCCTCAGATATGCATAGTAGTATCCAAGTCAAACTGCAAGTTGACCCACCGCATGGAATAAAAAGGTATGCTTAAAACACCATGTGACTATGTTAATTTGGAGGAACAACAATAAATACAAATACAGTAACCAAGTTTATTAGAGCAAGTAGTCACTGCTAAAGGTTTTTACGTCATCCAAGGAAAAGAAAGGGTTAGCAATTGAGTGAAGATGTTCAGCAAGAGCAAACATTGATCAAGATATAATAAGCAGCCTACAAAGAATGTACAAGAAACATGGTAAGCAAGAATATGTTGCAAATGCACATAAAAGGCAGAAAACTAAGAATTGGTTCCTTCTTTAAAGCAAACTAGGGACATAGGTAAGGTCTGCGTACTCGTACATCTTACTCCCCCCCCCCCAAAAAAAATAAACAAAAAAAGATCCTAACTTCGGATGGATTTACCGAGTCTGTTTGATTTGGTTTGGTTTGGTTTTGAAGCAAACGAGGAAAAAAGAACCTAAACCAGTCTAGGTGCAACCGTCTTCCAACCACATTTGAATTAACAAACATGGAGAATTACTTGAAAAATGCAGAAAGGACTTGTTGGAAAACTAAAGCAAAACGACCTATGGAGTAAGTTTTATGTTAAAGAGACTGAAAGAACATACTGACCGTTCAAAAAGCCTCTCGATGGTTTGAAACTGCTTCTCTGACGAAACAAGTGTTTCTCTGACACTTATGAGACTACTGACATAGGATTTTAACGATTCAAAGTCCTGCTTGACACGAGTAAGCTCCTGTTCATTTTCTGCTGCTCGTTGCCTCTGCCTAGATGTTTCTTCAACTAAATCTTCAACCCTTTGCCGCATCTCATTCAAAATACAGTTTGTACCCATTGCAAAGCGATCCATCTCATCCAACTTCTCTGACATGGTTTCAATCTGAACTGCCTTCTTTTTAATCTCTTCCTGACCTAAGGTTACTTTCTGTTTCGCATTAGTACTTTCAGATTCCGCCACGAGTACCCTTTTGACAAGAGACTCCATCACATCTGTTACTGTTTGCACACTACTCAGAATTTCCCCCATATAAGACCCGTCTTGTTCATCAACGTTGCCATGTTGACTGTTAATGCCGATCCATGTTTCAACCTCCCGACAGTCCAAGTTAGGGAACTTCACATTTCCAGACCAACTAGACATGGGTGCCCCACTCCTATCAATGAACCCTTCCCCATCTGACTGTTTGATGCCACAGGAGGTAAGAGCTAAATGTGGAATTGTCATTATTCTTGCTTTTGACTCCAAATATGTCAATAATGTTGTTGTTGTTTTTACTCTTCGCCAAAGAACCTCCAATTCCTTTTTGGCATCTTCACCAGATTCCTGCATACATGAAGTAACCTCACCAAGCTTTGCTTCCAATACATCCACTTGAGACTGACCTTGCTCCATATCCTCCTTCAAAAYTGTTTTTGTATGGCTTAATTGAGAATTCAAGGTTGATGAGTGAATATCTTCCTCACCTGCCATCACTTCTCTAAACAAGAAACAACCAAATATAAGAATCAAAGTTTTCACAAAAAGGAAGAAAAAATAGTCAAGAAGCACAAAACTTGAAGGTAGTTGATGCGAGTGTCACAACTTATGCAGAATCCAATTTTAAAGGCTATAAGCTTTGGTATAATCAAATACATAGACATATATATATTACACACATATATATACATATGTCATATATACATAAATAGACTTATACACCAACTGTATATATATGATTCAAGTGTTTGTGCACAGTTGCGCATAATTGTTTCATGTGTATGATGTTCCAAAAACAAAAACAAAAATGCAACATTTTTCTAACAAATTAATAGTGATTAATCAAAAGGTTTAAGGTTTCTTTTTTTGTGATTAAGGGTTTATGCTTTAAGATCTAGGCTTTAATCACTAATTTATAGAACTTCATCACTAATTATCTAATTTGAAGATGTTCATCACCAATGTCATTCTCGCTCTATTTTTTATAGTGTCAAAAATAAAGAAGGGGGTGAAGTTATGGTCATCAAGATTACCTTTATAGTAGGTACTATGGATTTGAAAAACAAATGCCGTGTACTACTCATGACAGCTGTGTGAGTGTAGCTCTGCTTTCACTCCAACCCCTTTAATACTATATATACATATGTGTGTGTGTTTATATAAGTATGTGTATAGATGTATGTATATGTAGACATATACATACATGCATATATATACACACATAGTGTATGTATATACGAAAATGTATTTGTACATGTATGTATACATGTGTGTGGATATTATACGTATATTCATATGTATAAAATTGTAAATGTGTGCATATATATACATGTATGTGTGTGATATGCATGCACATGGTAACTCTGTGTGTGTGTGTGTGTATATATATATATCAATGTCTGAGTGCATGCATATGCAATACATAGATAAACTTCAAAGTATCTTCATGGAGAATTGACATGGATCCTCTCTTGGCAGTACCATTCAAAGGGAAATGTAATTGATGGAAGAATTATAGTTTTTCACTGGAGTGAAAGAAGTCTAACAACATTATAAACCATGGAAATAAACTAGGACTTCTCAAAACCCCATTCCATAACAGGTTCCTCGGTTCATTACTTGAAATATTGACTAAATTTGAACGATTGGCAAGATAGAAGCCCGAAAAGGTTGCTAATGAACATAATTTCCTCTTAGACACCTAAGAATCATGTAACCAGAACAACATACACCCAAAAAACTTATCTAAAGTCAAACAGGACAGTAACTTAGCTGAAAATCAGTATTTTTTTTCTTAAGAACACAGAAAGATCATACAGAAAAGAGAAATCTAATGCATAGATTCTCAAACTCAACATCAAAATAGTCATATCTTTGTATTGATAAACTTTACAGAAGAAACATTTTCCACAAGCTTACAAAATATACACAAACAAACAATAAATAAATAAACCCACAAAAGTACAAAACCCCTAAACGATCATGAATTTGTGACCACTAGGTTAATCTAAACGGTGCAAGGCATGGTATATATAGTCTTCGTTTTGTTATAATTAAACCTGATCAAACCCTAGTGAATCAGAAAGAACGAAATAACAAACGAAGAAGTTGATCTAACGAAAAAACAAGGAGATAGAAAGTACAAGGATATGCAATTGGATAGCATTCGATTCGGCAAACACAAATTAGGGTTACCTTTTTTTGTGGAAATAAGAAGAAATCTAGGAGGTTTTGATTCTGATTGGGAGCGTAGAGATGAGGCAATTGATCAAATAATTCAGGTTTTGGTTTAATTTGTTGCCATCTTTCGATTGCTTCTTCTCTGGATTTGGATTTGGTTTTTCTTGTGTGGTATGGTGGTCACCATCTCCTCCCCACCCTTGAATTTTTACAGGAAGGATTTAAGGGAAGGTTTTATTCTTACAGAAATATAATAAATAAAGAAATAAACAACTTCATCTTTATATCCGTCCTTTTTTTCCAACGACAAACGCATCTAAAATTTTGCATTATTTCTACGTAGTGATTCTTTATTTTATAGGTTTTTTTTTTTAACTGTTAAATGGTTTGCTGTAGAATGATTAAGTGGTCAGAATATAATGCAAAATGAAATACAATTATTTGGTAATTGTGTACAATGAAATTAGGGCTCTTAATGATTAAGAGAGATCCATAATACAAAATCATTTAGAGGATTTTAGAACCGTTAAGAGGCAGACTTTTTTTTTTGCCAAACAAGATTCACCTCTTAACGATTCAGATGTTGCCTCTTAATGAAACTATTAAGATGTAAACAAACAACTATAATCTTTTATTATATGTGATAATATACGTAAGAGCTTTTGATGGTGTGTACCACTTGACTCGTAACTTAGGTTGCGCTAAAGATTGTCCACGCCTCGAATCCATTATCACATATGATAATGCACGTGAGATGCCTAGTCGTGTACAAGCGATTTGGCTCGCAACCTAGATCGTCGACATCTTTAATTTCGTATCATATGTGAAAGGCTATACTATCTATGAAAAATGTGATTGACTATAGTTTTATGAAGAGGTTCTCGTATGAATCCTTCCCAAATGTATAATTATGTATTTGATACATAGATGGAACTGGACATAAATGAACCGAACTGGAGATGATTGAATAGAGCTAGATTTGGCAAGAATGTACATGCGAGAGTGAGGTTATCGGGTGAAAGAATTGTGAATATTTTAGGGCTTTAATTTGATATGAGTTGTTTAGTAATTTATCAATTTTTTCTCATTTTCTTTATTTTTGTTCCACATATTTTGGTGTCACTCAATCTCGTCATGTTTCAATCTAATGTCGTGTCAAACGTGAGCCAACAGGTTTTGTTTTGTCATGTCTTTTTAATTTATGTCTTGAATACCAAGAATTTATAGTTTTAGAAACTTGGCTTATCATTAAGGAAAGAAAAGGGAGGGAAAGGGGAGAAAAAGTAATAAAAAAAATCGTGTTTTTTAAATTTTTTTTAGGAGAAAAGAAATGAAACAGAAGGAAAATAATCATAAGTTTCCTTCCAAAACTTTCATTCCAAATATGGGGAAAAAGGAAGGGAAATAAATCACAAGGGTGGTGCCTAATTGGTTTGAGCTTGACTCCAAAGATCAAACGTACCTGGAGGTCCTAGGTTCATATCCAATGAGGAATAAAAATCCCCTTGTAGCCACGAAGGTTCAAATGCGGTGACTTCGGGCTATCTGCAAAGCAGGTGGTTGTCCTAAGATTAGTCGGCTCGCATAGCGGGTTGGATATCCAAGTTAATTAAAAAAAAGGAAGGAAAGAAATAAATTGAAACCCTTAAAAATTATTAAAATTACAAAACTACCAAATCTTTCATTTTGAAGGATATATTTTTAAAGGGTATATTAGTAAAAATGACATATTCGGTTGTTGTGCTGAATAAACAGTTTGAATGTCAAAAATGATCATTTTACCCTCAGTCTATATTTTACTTTTATATACTTGAGACAACAAACCCACACCCCTTTCATCACAACAAACACCACCATCACCATACGGCTCCCCTTTCCATTCAAGTAAACACCACCAGTTTTCTTGAACCTGCCGAGAGGAACTCCATCATTCCACCATCACCAAATAGTTCCCCTTTCCATCTTATTGGCTGAAACTCCACAGGAATTGACAACCTAGATGAACAATCGAAAAACCACAATTAAAAATCGAAAACCACAACCGGAAAGACAAAGAAATCAAGGGGAAATAAAAAAAAAAAAACCTCCTTCGTAAAACTTGATTCTTCACTGCTGAAAACACAAAGAAATCAAAAACCTATGATAAATGATAGAAGCAGAATCAATGGAGTATTGAGAGAGGAGCAGTGTAGGCATGGGGATGGGCCCCGACCCGTCGGGGAACCCGGTCGGGCACGGGGATTCCCTGCTAAATCGGGGATGGGGACAGGGATCTCCGTTTGTCTCAAACCGGGGACGGGGACGGGGACGGTACTCCCCGCTCCACCCCGTACCCGTTATATGTACATATATTAATTAATAAATTATATATACAAACACACACACATACATAAATAAATATATATATATATTATTTATTTCAACTAAAGTGGTAATTCATAATTTCTCCTAACTAGGTTTATAATCTAAAATTGTTGCTATTTGGATGTTAATATGTAATATTTTGAATGTCAAGTCAAAATACAATTGTTCGACAAGTTTTATATATTACTTGATATGGTTTTATATTACTCAATATCTTTTGGTACATGTGACTATAAGTTTTTTTGGATTAAATTGATTTTTTTTGTTTTAAGTTATTAGTTCTTATATGATGTTGTGGTCTATTTGTATTAAATTAAATTCATTTTGGTTTTACGTTTATTGAAAATGTTTGAGATTTAAACATATAAACGGGAAAAAAATTCTTCGTTTCCCCGTTGGGAATGAGATGGGGATAGGGATGTGATTATAATCCCCGGTGGGGATGGGGACAGGGACAGGGACAGGGACAGGGACGGAGGTCCACACCCCATCCCCGCTCCATTCTCATGCCTAGAGCAGTGATGGAGTGTAGAGGGAGAGGGGTAGTTGGGGGAATTTAATGGTTGAATACAAATGACACAAGTTTTGTAGCTGAGTGATTTAGCCATGAGCTGACCGAATAAGCCCATACCGAACAACTAGATATGGCTGACCGAATAAGCTATATGACTTATACAACTCATTAAGCTGCAACCGAACAACCCATTAAGCTGCAACCGAACAACCCCTTAATATTGCCAAAAACAATTTAAAGATCTTATTTTACCATTTTGTGAACCACGTGTTGGAAGACAAATGATCTGTTCTTTTTTCTATTTCAGTATTTTTTTTTGGTTTATTGGTTTATTTTTCGGTGTTCTGAAAGACACGTCATGATAACTAGTGATGGCCAAAAACCGGTTCCGAGCCGGTCCCGAGCCTCAACAGTGCCGGCCATGATCAGTCCCGGTCCCGACCGAAAATGAAGAGCCCAGTTAAGGTGAAGTATAACCGGTTATGGTGAGCCGGTCTCGGTCCCGACCTTTAAAAAATATTTTTTAATTTCTTTTAATGATACATGTTTTTAATACATTATAAAATTTGTAATTGATTCACTCAAATACACTTTAAAAATGCGTTTTATTATAATTGAAATTACATTTTCTTCCAAAAATATATTATAAAATTATTTGAAAATACATTTATTCATCAATCATCATCGGTATCCCAAATCAGATTAATTTCAAGAGTTCTGGTCTCTTAAATTCTTCTAATAGCCTCTTGGACATCAAGGTCATCAATGTCGAGTACTTCATCATCGTCAAATTGTGAGTAAGTGCCGTCAGTATCGGTAGTTGGCGGCGTGCTTAGTCCCATGGCGATTGCATTTTCTTTCACTGCTTCAATCTCCACTTCTAACAATGTCGTGTGTTGAATTATATCAACGTTATCCAAGTAATTATTCAAATATATGTAACACTCCACAGACTCTAGGCTTAGTCTTGTCCGATGTATCAAAATGATCCTCCCACTAAGAGAAAAGGCGGACTCCGAAGCTACGGTACTATCTTGGATTGTTAACATATCATGCGTCATGCATGCCAAAACCAGGAATTGATATTGTTTTTGTTTCCAAAAACCTAATAGATCAATTTTTTCAAAATCTTCGACATCATTTGCGGGGCATGCGTCCATAAAGTTAGTATGCACGTACATATTTAGTTCACTTAAATGGTTATCAAATCTACTTCTTTTACTTGATTCATTTAAAACCTCTTTCATTAAATTCGTCATCAACTCTTTTCGACTTTGGCGATGACCACCGGAAGAACTAGAACCCGCAAATCCACGACTTGAAGAGCTTTGTTGTTGATTTCCTCCCCCAAAAAATGTTTACAATGATAAAATAAATCTTTGAAAATTACGATTAAATAAACGTTTTTGTTCCATTGAAAAAGAATTATCCATAGCTGTATCTAAACCAAAGACCACACATATTTGTGTATTAAAACTTCAACATCGATAACGTTTAAATATGGGTTTAACGTCGCATCACAAAGAAAAGCAAATGTGATGCTCATAAAATATTTTAACAATTTCTTTTTTATTGAACTCATCAACCTTCCCCAATTGTGATGATCTTCTTATTGTGCAATCTTACTTGTCAAAATATATAGCTGGTTTAAAAGTAAAGGGCCTATTGGATAATAAATACCAGATAAAAGTGTTGTCGTAGTTTTAAAATCGCCTAAAATATCATACAATCATTCAACCACTGCCCAATCAAGATTTCCAATAGAATTTTGCGGGTAATGGTTCTATAAAATGAAAAAAATATAACTTTTTTGTCTTAGCAAATTTTCAATCATAAAATAAGTCGAATGAGCATATTGAACCTCGGTCCCAAAATTTTAAAACCAATGTCTTCGCAATATTTTTTATATTCCGCATTCATTTTCTTAACCTCTGTGAAAATTCGCCTCAATATAAGTATAAACTTATCTATTACGGGTTTACAAATATTTAAACCGTCTCGAACGGCTAAACTATTATGCTTGCACAACAACGTGTATGAAATAATTTACTGTTTAAAATAGGTGTCAAATGACACTTTAATTTTTCCACACATAGGTTGTTATTACTTGAGTTATCAATGAAATACTAATTATTTTAGTAGTTAAATTATAGAATGCAAGACATTTTTTAATAATTGAAAATTGACGTGCACCTGAATGTGATGCACCAAACGGTTCAAACGCGATTACACGTTGGTATGTAAATCCTTCAACCATGACACTTATATAGGGTTTAGAAAGAAAAAAAAACAGTCATATAACGATCATAAACGGCTATATTTTAAAAAAAGAACGACTATATTTTTTGAAAAACTAGGTCGGGCCCATAACCGGTCCCGGTCAGGCCTGTCCTTCGAAACCCTCCAAAACAGCAACCGATCATGGTCGGCGGTCCTATAAGAAAGAGTTCCGACTCTTGCAAGACTGCGCTTTGGATCGACCATTTTCATGCCAGAAATTTTTACATCATGTATTTTTGGGCTTTTATAAAAACTTCGCCCGATCATGCCTTTAGGCCCGGGCTTCAAGCTTCTTTTTGCATCTTTATATCCCACAAAGGTAGTCTTTCTTTAACGGACAAAATGTATGCAGATCTTGTCTTTACCGATTAAGCCCCAATCCCAACTTGCAACATAAAACTTCACAAACATAACACAAATAAGATAAGAAATATTGGGAAACTTTTGTATTACTGTCTGATACAACTGATTGCTGATACTAAACAAACCCAGTATATCCCACCAGAGAGAGAGAGATACAGGTAAATTAATGTGGTTTTATTTGGGAGAGCCTTTGAGTACATCAGTAGGGGATAATGGAGGAGCATCCAGCTGATAAAGATTGAGGGCAGGACCAACAAACCTAAACAAGATCCAAGCTCCAATTATGATGTAAATGGAAGCATATGCAAATTTGTTTATCCAAAACAACAAACCCTTTTCTCCTACATACAATTCCAATGCCTTTTCTCTTACTGTCATGTCTTCCCATTCCTTTTTCGCCACTTCTTTCTTCCTCCCCATCATCATGTTCTTATCGTTCGATTCGTTTTCTTGATCTCTTCGCGTTTTCCTCCTCACCCCTCTTCGGAATTTGATCTGAACTGCATTCTTGTCCGATGGCGGTGATGGGTTGTCGTCGGTGGTCGTGGCGGTGGTGTTGTCACTGCTGCTGGTTCTGATTGGGAGGAGGGTGGGTGGTTGGCGGTGGAGGTGGTGGTGGTGGTGCTTCTGAGAAGTGAAGATATGGGTGGTTATGGATTTGGTGAATGGGAGAATGGAAGAGTTCATTTTTTTGACTTTGAGTGGTGAGTGGTGGAAGGAAGCAGGTGATGGTGGATGGATTTTGTTATCCTTTTTGAGAGGGAAGGATGTGTGGTGAGGTTTTGCCATGGTGTTTATTATTACAATAATGGTCCTTAGACTATTTGTGGACTTGCAATTTTGGTCCCTAGACCATTTAGTTTTCGTCAATGGTTTATTGTTTCGATTGTAGGTTTCCCAAATTGGTCTTCCGTTTATTTTCAGTTGAATTTCAATGTGAAGCAACTCACGTGCAAAGCATGTACTTATGATTTCAATTGCAATGCTTTTTGATTTTAGGGGTTGTTTGTTTATTTCTTAATAGTTTCACTAAGAAGCAACATTTGAATCGTTACAAGATGAATATTGTTTCCCAAAAAAAAAAAAATCTGTCTTTTAATGATTCTAAAACCCTTTGAATGATTTTGTATCATATGTCTCCCTTAATCATTAAGAGCCCCAATTTCATTGTAAACAATTACCAAACAATTATATTTCATTTTGCACTATACCATGAGAGCCTCTTAATCATTCTGACGACTTAATCATTCTATACCAAACCATTCAGCAACTGCCAAACAGTCCCTTAAAGTTGATAACTCAAACTCTCAACCTTTTTTCATGGTTCGTTTATTTTCTCACCCTTAATTTTATTTTATGGTTTTCTATGATTTTAAGAGAGTAACAGAATTGTTGGTTTATTTAATTTGTGTAATAATATAAGTTTTTTTAAACAAAATGATAATTAGAATTAATTATATACAAGTAATTTTTCGTTATAAATATATAATTATTATAATTTGTAAAGTTGTAAAAAATATAGGACATATTTCTAACAACTGATATTTGGTGTTAATTGTGTAATTGATTAAATATTAATTAATGTTTACATCAAATTTTATATTATTCTTATAAAAGAAATAATACAGACGTTTAAAGACAGGTTTTAACTGCAATAGAAATGCAATACATTCTTCAAACAAAGATGTTGTTTTTTCATACGTGTTTTCAATATACCTAAATGTTAAGATTTAAGGGTTTTAAAAACCCCGTCAAACTAGTCAAATCAAAACGGTTTGAGCGGTATGTCAGTCTGATCTGAAAAATAATCAAATTATCGGGTCTGGTCCAGTCTGCGGTTTGAACAAATCGATTGTTAAAATACACATGTATTGGTTAATAAAAAAGTCCATTCAAGCTATTTTTCACTTTTCTATTATCCACGTTCCTAAATCATCGAATTTTTGATACATCAAAAATCAAAATCCAAAATTGAAAACCGTCCTTTGATTTGCTCAATGTTTGTCCAAAATTTCAACTAATGTTGGTGGACTTGTTAAACTTTTTACAACCTGTTTAATGTTTTTTTTTTTTATTTTGGAGATAAATGTCTTATTTTATAATTCATGTACTATTCTAATCAGGTAAGATTCAACAATATCACTTACTTATCAGGTAAGATTTTAATCCACAAAAATTGTATCAAATGCAACTATTTACCCAACAAACGTTAACCGTGGTAAGAGTCACCGCTCTCACTTACCGGGTAAGACTCTCGGTGCTCTTACTGGATAAGATTCTTCTTGGTACTTATCATATTCATCCGATAAGATAATGTTACTTAATAAGCGCTTAACTGCGTAAGCGTTTGGTAAACAGTTCATTAGTGCTATATTGCTAGAAATTTTATTTTGGAGATTAATGTTATTTTTCTTTTAATTCAAAGTCCATAATAGACTAAAACCGTTTAAATCGATCAGATCATACCGTTTTTTACAGTTCAATTTAATTGTTTGGTTTGAAAAATTTCTTAACCCATATTATTTTTGGTTTATAGTTTAGAGGTTAACCCGTTCAAGAGAGATCACGAACACCTGTGATTAAAATCTACTTCCCGAACACATAAAACGATCCAAAAACGTTATGATCCACAATATGAGCAATTTGATCGTATTCGTGTTATGGATGTACTTATGACGACAAATTGGAAAAATGATGGTTTTTTATATATTTTATTTTAGTCATTTAGAATTAAAATAATTAAATATTTTGTAATACTAGATATATTCAATTATCTATTGGTTGTTTGGATGGTATTTTCTTAAGTTCTATATAGATAAAATTGTTTATATAGATTAATTTGTTTGTATAAATTGTTAATTTTTTTGTTTAAGATGGTTTTTTCATAGATGAAATGAGCATGTTTTTTAATTGAGAAATTTAAGTTTGGAAATAAACATGACTTTTTGCATAAAACTCTCTTTTAAAATCTTACTTAATAAGCCATTATTTATATCATTAAGCAACTGTCAAACAATCACATATATCTGATCGAAATAAACTAATGAGTTTCATTAAACTGTTAACAAACAGATCCTAAAATAAAAAGTATAAAATCGACAAAATAATAAAATATTATATTCAAAACTTGTTAATAAATAAATAAATAATTTTTTTGGAGTCAACTTAAAAAATGTTGATTTTCAGGATCTTGAATAATATTATATTTTCCTTTTAAAAAAATAACGTTATATTATTTAATTAAAAAAATAACGTTATATTATTTAATTAAAAAAATAACGTTATATTATTTAATCTCTCTCTTGAAAGTCTTTTTACATGAACATTAAATAACCCACTTCTGAAAATCATGATATCATTAAATTATGTCAGATGTTATTATATCTTTTCTTAATTAAAAATAAAATATTATATATATTTTCTTTAAAAGAAAAAATATATTTTTTAAAGATTCATCGTTAATTATTTGATATTTTATAAAATCTCATATAAAGAGTTTTTTTTAAATTTATAACTAAAAACACTTTCAGGTTTTAAATCATTAAGGAGGTATTTGGATTACTTATATAAATAATTTATTGATTTATTTCAATACGATATCAATAATAAATATTTTTAAATATTTAAATAAACAATTTATATCGATACCAAACTGATAATATATAATATATTTTTTTAATAATTACAGTTTACAAAATAAAAACACAAGTAAAATTGATTTGTGTGTCGATTTGAAGCTTCTGAAACGACTACTGAGAAGAGTCAAGAAAACAAGTCTTGAATTCCTCTCTTTCTCTCTCTTCCATCTCTACCACACAACCCATCGAAATCGTCTGCTTCAATAACCCCCGATCCTCCACCGTCTTCACTCACAACACCATGATCAACGGTGGCGTTACCCCAAATCAACCGCCGGAGGACGAATTTGATCCCTTTTTACAAGGCTACAACCCTAGCGACCTTCGAACTGCCTCCGAATTTCTTCTCAATTGGTTGCCTTTCCTCTCTAAAGGCCTTTGCGATCACTGCTCCCACTCCATCTCTCATCGCGTTCGATCTCTGCATCCTAGTATGTCATGTGTGTATTTTGTGTTTACCTTGTCAAATTGTAGGTGTTTTATACTGTAACTGCAAGCAACGTAATTATTCATAAAATTCTTTGCGTACATCTACGTATTGTGTGATTTGGTATTGGGATCTTGTTGTTACTGCAGATCTTTTTGGTTTCTAGTTTGAGAAAATCTCCCTTTGTGTGTGATCGCACATTTATTATCATTATTATACCCCCCCCCCCCCCCTTTTTTTTTGTCAAAGCTACTATGTTTCAAATGCACATCGTTTCAAAAGCGCTTTAAATTTTGTGATTATATGAAGTTTAATGTAGTTGAAAATCTTTTTCTAGAAAGATTTATCGTTTATATAAATTTGAAGTTTAAAATTAACCTGTTTGACACCCGAAGAGAAGGTGTAGTTCTTACTGGAAAGGGGATAATTAATCTATTTCATCCCATGGTCGGTTTACTTTACCAACATCTTACATAAGCATGTCACTGGATCGGTGATGCCTCTTTGATGGTATTCTTTTTATATCTGAAAGAGGCCATTTCTAAGGAGGACAGACTGTATAGAATGTCTTGTGTTATTGTTGGTTAAGTTGGTATTCATGTTGGGATATGTTTACTGGTTTTGGTTGTTCTGAATATTATCTAATTTGGTTGTGTTTTCTTCTATTCATTGGTGAATATTAGTTGAGTATGATGCTGAACAGCCACACCAACGCGGGGAAGTACAAGTTTCAACATCAAATGGTAGGGATTTGAATAGATGTACTGGCAATCAGGACAACCATGATTCTAATTGGCTAAGTGGTTGCAAAAATGGAACAGATATCAATGACACAGAGGATACAAATTCTTTGGGTAGCTGGAAAGATGGTGCAAATGGAGCATTGGAACAAATTGAAGAGACTTTAGGAAGTTTGAGGGTTCAATCACCAGAACATGTTAAAAGCCCTAGGCCACGAATGTCATGGGCTGATATGGCACAGGAGGAGATGGATGCTGACGAAGAGGAGGAAGCTAGCAGGCAATTTGGTAATAGCAGTAGCCAAGTGGAAGAGACAGGTGGAGAAGTGAAGACTACCCCAAAGCCAGAGTTGTCAAGAGAACAAAGAGAACGCATTCGCTTTACAAATGTGAAGAGGAAGAAAGATTTTATTTGCTTGGAGAGAGTTAGTGGGAAATTTGTGAATATCCTTGATGGCCTTGAGCTCCATGCTGGTGTATTCAGTGCAGTGGAGCAGAAAAAGATAGTTGATTTTGTTTATGAGCTTCAGGAGAAAGGAAAGAATGGAAAATTGAAAGGTTTGTTATTCCACAAAATGATCCTTATATTATATGATAAAATTTGTAATTGTATACTTTGTTTCTTCTTTATCCACTTTTATGTTGTCAAATATTCCTACTAAATGTCAAATGATTGATCCTTGGATTTCATAATTATAGCATGCTATTTAAAAAAATATGGTTTAAAAAAATATGGTTCAAGTAACAGTCTTATCCAGATATAACATTAATCTGTGTAGAAGTAGCTCTCCCACGTATTTCATATGCTATATGTGTGTTTGTGTGTGCATTTCAAAACATGTGAAGAATTAGATGTGAACTTAAAGATATAGAGGCTATAGTTTGCATTTTGCCTACACTACTTTGAAGGACTCACCTCTAATCCAGATATAATGGGTAGAAGTAGCGCTACCACGTATTTCATATGCTATGTGTGTGTGCATTTCAAAACATGGTAAGGCTTTAGATGTGAACTCGGAGACATAGATGCGCTGGTATGCAACTTTGCATATACTGCTAGTATTCACCATTGCTCTACTTTACATTGGTAGGTTGCAAACATCTACAAACCTTCATTGATTTTTTAAGTATGCTGTGGCTGAAGGTTGTCATTTAGTCCTTTAACTTGTGGACCTATAATCTTTCTGTATTTTTAAGAATATTTTCTTCCTCATATTGGGTTATGCCTATTCATTTGGGGGTGTGGGGTTGGGAAATGGTGACTAAACAGACTTTAAGAGGTTGGCTGGGCTGATTGACATGTCAACACTCAACATGTATGGTAAGTGAGGAGGCAAGAAAAAGTCAGCAGATTCTTGGAATCAACTGTCAAGACTGAAAAAATCTTTTTGTCAGATTTTTATTTTTGACACCTATCATAACCAATTTTCTATATTCAAGGATACAATTGGGATCAGGGTGCTTTTATGCACAAAAATTGTCAATTGGTTTAAAATTATGAAGAATATATATGCATTCTATTCAGCTGAAAGGGAGGTTTTATATTTGGTGTTCCTACTGCTTTCGGCATTTGTTCGAGATTTTCACTTGCTGGCAATTTTTTTAATGAACCCAAGCACCTGATACACATCCATTCTGATGCTTCTAGCTTGCTAGAAGTTAGCCTGGTGGAGGCATTGGATAAATCTTGGACTTTTAAGCACAAGCACATGCGTCAATGGCTTAAGATTGTGTGATTGTTGCTTGCTTCATGAGTTCGGCAGTTCCATGAAACCACTAAAGCAAAAAGTTATACCAGACTTCACCCTATAGGCATTGCAAAACTGGAAATATTGGAAGAAAGTGATGGGAAAGGGAGTTACTATGAGAATGATGCTTAACTACCTGTCACTGGGCAAACCATAGCAAATGGACATGATACTTGAAGAAAAAGAGCAGAGCAATGACAAAAACAAGAACATATTTTTCATCTTGCTCACAGATACTCACCAATGGTCCAGTTTTTGGAGCTGTTGATGAGCCACCACACTTCATCCTTGTTATCAGGAAACACCCAATTATTTCTAGGAAAATCTGCCATTGAGAATGGTGATTTTGCATGTTTCTCTTTTAATTTGCTGCAGAAAATCTTAAAGTTGTATGAATCTAAATGTTGTGATAGTAGAAGTTTGACGTGCACACTCCCTAGGGCCCTCAAACTTATGTTTATAAATTCGTAAGGAATGCTTTTTTCATGATCTAAGTAGAACTTTAAAATAAAAATCTTCTAGAAAGGACATAAGAAAGAGGCTATCTTATTTTATTAGACGTCAGGTGATGTAGTGGTGCTTAATTGTCATTAAGAAAGACTCCAAGAAGAAAGCATCCAAAGAAACCAGACTAGAATGAAGTAGTTGTGAACCTCAAACCCTGACCAGTCTTGGTCTGTAAGAAAAATATCCCTTCAACATTAGAAATGAATTTTGGAACACTTGAATGCTAAATATCAGTCAATAGGCATTTCTTTGTTTCGTAACAGACATCAAGACGTCCGTCAACCTGACTATGTTAATCCTGTCACCACTTGGCATGGTTTTTGGTGCCTTGATCAATTCAGGCAGGAGGCTAGAATTGATCTTGGACCATATTAGCCACTAACATATTAATGAGAGCATAATAGTTTCGGCCCATGGTGCATGACTGCGTGAATTGATGCAAAACCAAAAACTGAGCTATGTTGGCTGATGGATGGTATCTGCAAATTTTCAAATTTGAGAAGTAACAAAATTCGAAAAACTAAAATATGTAAGCAAGTGACTTTTAAGCATAATAGATGGTTTTAGAGTGAACTAACACAAATGAAAGACAATAGACAGTATTCAACCCTATAACACTATCAGAGACACCTTTAAGTAAATATAAAGCACTTAATATCTCACTAAATTCATTACAAGAGTCACCAAAAATTTAAATGGAAATTAGCAACTTACAACCTATAAAAAATTATCACATCATTCACTATCATACCATCTATCACCATTTCCGTCATGGAGTAATAGTTTGCTGTATCTGTGGCATTTTCTATTCTCTTCATCATTGTTCTCCCTTCTCAAGTCGTACTCTTCTTTTGGATTGAATTTTAAACACAGCAATGTTATGTCTATTAGAATGTGTAGTTGATTAGCAAGTAGTGTCGATAAAGCTTGGCAAGATGGTAGGCAAATATGGTGAAGTGAAAAAAGTAGCACTATGATGCAACTCCACGGAAAGAAAAAAGTTTCTAATTGAGGTTATAGATTGGATAGAGGGAATATGAACTCGTTTGGACATCCTGTTATATGAACCTTCAAATTTTTATTATGAAAGGTGCAACAAACATAAATTTATATGAAGAACCTTATCTAATGATCCAATTTCTTCCTCGTCTGAATTTGTTTCTGATTGAATGCTTGAACATATTGAATCATAAGGAATCTGTAAAACTTCACATCACTCACTTTTCAATAAATTTCTTGCAGAACGCACCTATACCGCTCCTCAGAAGTGGATGAGGGGAAAAGGGCGGGTGACCATCCAATTTGGCTGTTGTTACAACTATGCAACAGTAAGTTGATCTTTCCATTCCAGCCCTCCAAAATTCAGTTCTCTAAATTGCCTTACTCCCTCTGTCCGAAAGTAAATGTTCTATAAATATGTAATATTACACTTTCTAATTAAGCACATTACAATTGTACCCTTAATAATAGAGGGAATAATGACTTTCACCATCTCATCAGGGTATAATTAGAAAGTAGGCACTTGCTTTTGAATTGAACACTTATTTTGGGGGTGAGGAGTAATGGATTCCGTCACCTTACTGTGTCTCCTCTGGCTGCAGGATAGAAATGGTAACCCACCAGGGATACTTAAGAATGAGTTAGTAGATCCCATACCTCATCTTTTTAAAGTTATCATCAAGAGATTGGTCAAATGGCATGTTCTTCCTCCTACATGTGTACCCGACAGTTGTATAGTCAACATTTACGATGAAGGCGATTGCATTCCACCTCATATCGACAATCATGATTTTCTTCGGCCATTTTGCACAGTTTCTTTTCTCAGCGAGTGCAATATTCTTTTTGGAACGAATTTGAAAATAGAGGGCCCCGGGGAGTTTTCTGGTGCATTCGCCATCCAGTTACCAGTGGGGTTAGTAGCTCCACATGTTCACTTGATCTTAGTTCATTTAACTGTGATTTAAATCTAACTGCACCATTTCCTCCAGATCTGTTCTTGTTTTAAATGGGAATGGAGCCGACATAGCGAAACATTGTGTGCCAGCAGTTCCTACCAAAAGGTTCTAATTCTCACTCTGCTTGAAATTTGTGTTTGTCAATAAAGAATTTGGCCCGTATTTTGCAATCATGGGCTAGCTTATTATTGAGCTTATTGAAAAAGCCTCGTTTCCATTAGCCATAAGCCAACTTTTTGAAAAGCTACTTCAAGTAACATTTCAATAAGCTTCTCTGGATTTTTTCCTCTTCTTTTCCAATTTTCCCCTTATACTTTTTCCGATTAGTTTTCAAGGTCATTTTACATTATCATCTAGCCTATCAGCTAGTTATTACCAAACATGACTAGTTTATCAGCTTGCTTATTAGCCAACAGTTAGCTTATTAGCCAACAACTAGCTTATTAGAACCACAAGGGTTGTGACATAGTGGTTGAGGCCTTGGGAGTGGGAGATGTGGTGGGATATCCCATCTGCCAAGGGTTCGATTCCAGGAGTACATAACAATTGTGGCCATTTATTTTTATCAAGACTGATTTCTTACAGTCACAATTTGCGGGTATTAGTCCAGGCATAGCCTCAGACACCTTTCCAAAAAAAAACTAGCTTATTAGCCAACAACTAGCTTTAACAGCTCGTTTGCCAAACATAACCTTGGTCAAGGTAGCTTTCATCTTTTGTTTCAACAAATAATCAACTTTACCATAAAGGGTCCCTTTTGATATTTCTTTTATGTTTTCCTTTCAGGGTTTCAATTACATTCAGGAAAATGGATGAATCAAAATGGCCAAACGGGTTTATTCCAGAACCTGATTTGCAAGGACTCGAGCCACTTGTGTATGAATCAGACAAACCCAAGGTTGGTGGTTCATATATCTCCAAACCACGTCCTTCGAATAGGCAAGTTGCTAGAAGAGACGACCCAATGGACCCCTCAAGAGGATTACTAGGTTCACAGCCGCGTTTCTATGGTCAAAGTCAAACAAGACATCATGGTCCTAGTCCTGGAAATCGAAGGAAAGCCAGGTCAGAATATTGATATGCTTACACTTTCCACTCTGAAAACACATTCTTGCGGTTTCTTGACATATATCGCTTCTTCAAATGTGCATTTGTTCGTTAGTCCCCATACCAAATGATGGTTTCTATTTGAGTGTGTGAAATCTAGCTTTAAGTCCGAATCTGACAAGGATCGAGCAACTGTTATGGCCCTAGTTTCACAAAATGGATATGTGATTCCAACTTCTGAAAGGTGTGTGTGTGATTGAAAATAAGCAGGAAAACAAATGAAAGGAGAAAGATTGTTAGTTCCATTTATGGGTGTATGAGGTTTTAGAGTTTTTGAATATCCTTGTACATGTTATAAGTCATATCTGATTTCTCCACCTCCAAATTGAGTGCATGGGTTTGATTTGAAGTTTGATATTTTGTTGAGTTCAATATGTTCATTTCCTCAATTAAGCAACTAGGTATGCTTCCCAACGGCTTTAGTCTAGCAGGTAAAAAGGTGGATATCCTTGCAGAATGGAACAGAGGTCATAGGGTTCGACTTCATATACCATCCACTTGGACACACGATTTACCTCCTTCTGATGGTCGTGGGATCAATATGGTGGGGGAACTGCAGAGGGTGGTGTCATGCCTTTTTTTTTTTTAGAAGTCGTAAGGTATGCTTTTGTGGATTTATAGGTCGTAAATAGTATAAAAATTGTGTACAAAGACTTATCTCCGGTTCTTGCAAAGATAGGGAGTCTTTGTTACACCCGAGTCGATCTATAATGTCAACTTGTAGAGATGTAAAGAGTATCATCAGTGAGTTCCCCCTCCCCTCCCTCCCTCCCTCCCTCCCCTCCAACACAGACAATGCTCGATTGCATACATTACCGATAATTGTATGGTGATATTGGTTGTTAGATAAATTGTTGGTTTTATCATGTTGATTTGTTATGCAACAGAAATAGTTGGATATGAACAAAATGATCATTAAATCATAACGTAATGTTGAACCCATTGAATTTTTTTTGGCCTAGAAACGCCTACCCTTCGGTTAAAGATTACTTCACAAAAACACGTAAATGACAAAGTTAGACTATTAATCTTCTCGTTGCAAAAACATACATAACCATACCAAAAATGAGGAAACGTTAAACGGAAAGTACACGCTAGGTCGTGAGACTTATCACCATGGGTCATCAGTTTGAGCCTTCTCGGATCTTTTTGACCGTTTTCTTCACGATTTTGTAGGATTAGTTAAGGTGGATGCAAGTTGAGTGTCCGTCAGTTTGAAGCTTCTTAGTATTACTGAGGATTTTTTTGCCTGTTATCTTCAAATTTTAGTGGGATCAGTATATAAGTTGGTTTGGAAACCCATGAGTTATAAAAAAGGGAACAAACAAGGCAGTTGAGATTGTGGTGGTGGTCCAATTAAACTTGTTAAATGAGATTGAGTCAAGTGAAGAATGTGTAATTGACAAATGAGGATGGTTCCACTTTTTGAGTGGTCCAAACCCAAACCAAACCAAACCAAACCAGATTCTTGATTCTCAATTAATACCATAATAAATCACTGCTTTTTTAAAAGCATTATCAGGTCCACTCTACACCCTACAAACCCATCTCAATCATGCCATTTATATCTCAATTGTACCCATACCAACCTTCTCTTTTCTTTTTCTAGCAAGTAAATAAATAACAAGAAGTATTTGAACCCGTAATATTGGATCGTTGAACGGGAAAAGGATTTGTAATGACGTGTTTGTGGTAAAACAACCTTTACGAGGTCAAGACGCTGTGATATGTTGTTCTGTAAAAGGTGTACCTGATGATTACTTTAAAAAGTTTTGACAATTAAGTGATTGTTGTTTGGTATATGAATAGAAACCCAGGGTTAGTATTCATACAACGACTTCAGAAAACCATCTTCCGGAACAAACCATTCTCGTCCTTTTTGTTCTTCTAAATTCCTCGACAATAGTTCTATATACAAATATGAAAAGATGAAAACCGAACACTTATGCTATGCATAGTTGTTGTTGATAATTCATATTATCTATACTATATTATAAAGCATTTGACAAAAACTCTTAAAAACCATTTTTTATGCGTAAAGTACTGTTTATTAATGCATATTACTTAAAACTCAATATTACAAGTAGATTGTGCGTAA